TGGAACATAAAATGGAAACTTCTATCTTTCTCCGACCAGGCCGGCCTTAACCTTGCGAGGTCGCTCGAAACCCAGAGCAAGAATCAGGTTCCATGGTGCCCTTTTCTGGGTTGCTGTTAAGGCACTTTGCTTATCCACTAACGGGCAGATTGCATCTAGTGCGAGCCACCTGAGGTGGAGGCAGAAGCATGTCAGGTCCACTCCTCACATCTTTTTGAGTTATCTTGGTGGACTGTGACCTCTGCACCTGATCTTCAGGAGGTCGTGGTCGTCGCTATGGGGATCGTCCAGGCATGATCTTTGAGATGCTTCACCGATTGCCTGTTGCTTTGACTCTGCTTCGAGGTGACAGAGGCCGCGATCGTCGTGGAGGTCGGGAACGAGGCTTGTTGGAAATCCGTAGGAGGCCGCAGCTGGTGGCACGTTGCAACCCGCATCGAAGGCCCCCCGCCACGTGACCGGGAACGAGACCGTGATCGTGGAGGCTTGCTCAGCACCATGAGTCCTGACAGCTCGTAACATCAGTTCCAGCGATTCAAGCAGATTCTAGCAGTTTACCGCGGCCTCGATTATAGAATGATGTCTTTCGAGGCTACCGCCTTGCTGAGCGGCGTCGTTCAGATCGGGACTGGGAAGAGCGCCGAGGCGAAGGAGGACTGAATTGAGAATGGATGGAAGTAGGCACATGTTGGCAAACATAGGAGATAGCTGTTTGGGCACGCTGATCTAGGGCTTCAGTAACTTCAGGAGGCAGGCGTAGAAGACGCTGCGGCCTCTCGCGCCGAGACGACCGGGACGACCGGGACGACCGGGATGACGATCGCACAGACAGGCTTCATTGTTTCATGTTGTTTCAGAGTAGCTAGATGGGCAACACGGGCTGAGGCGCCGGCCAAGGGGTCGCCCTGACGACGAGCGACGCTCTCGCCCCCGCAGTGTCGAGGTCGGCCCGCAGCCGAGAAGTCTGAAGTGTTTCTGTGCTTGCTTTCTCCCAGGATCCTCGAGGAGGCCGCCGCCGCCGCGTCCGTCGCGCGCCGCGCTCTGATAGCAGAGACGAGGCAGGGGTGAGACTTCATGTCAACTGTGCGCTGCTGCAGTTTGCGGCGATTGTGTTGCAGGACAGGCCCGAGGAGACTTCGAAGCGCAGGCTGGAGAGGACTGTGAGCATGTTGTCAGGGTCTATGAAGTGCTGTAAGGCGCGCGGAGCCGGCCCCCAAGCAGCAGCCGCAGCAGCGGCCTGAGCATGAGGTATACTATGTGCTGGTTCTGCTATTTTCTTCTAGTTGCGTTTCGTGCAGTGGGCATTCGAGTATGGTTCTATCTAGTTTCATCCCAAGCAGCCAGGTGCTCCGAAGAAAGCGAGAGCAGCTCGGAAGAGAGGCAAAGTTGGGATACCGTCTGCAGTGAGGACACCTGAACCTCCAGAAAGTCTCATTCTGCTCCGTTTCGGAACGCTGACATAGCAGTCAAGCTCATTTGCTTACTTGGCTCTGGTTGGGTAGTGGGGCTTCAGTCTTCCGTCCATTGGGACAGGAATCACTGGCACAAAGTATGACATGTACATTCATTGGCTGCTGCTCTGTTCCCAAAAGCACACGCGAAACGAGTTGAGATCCCTATTGCAGAGCATCAATCAGGAGGGTGGTCTTGCGGAGGCCACCAGATCTGCAAGCTGCAGGTGAGTACTTGAAGCTAATTCAACTGATTCGCAAATCTTCGTGTTCCCCGAATCTCACATTGCATGCTTGTCCTTGGAACTCAAGCAAAGAAGATCATAAAGGCTCAGGAGAAGATCACGATGCGCTGCAGTGAGTCAGCAAAAACATGGTTGCACGCGACAGCCACCTGTACGTTTGAGTATTCATGGCATGTCTTTGCATGCTTTTAACTG